ATCCTTTCACAGCAGTCATGGTATAATTTAAAACTCTCATCCTTTCACAGCAACCATGGTATAATTTAAAACTTTCATCCTTTCACAGCAACCATGGTATAATTTAAAACTCTCATCCTTTCACAGCAGTCATGGTATAATTTAAAACTCTCATCCTTTCACAGCAACCATGGTATAATGTAAAACTTTCATCCTTTCACAGCAGTCATGGTATAGTTTAAAACTCTCATCCTTTCACAGCAACCATGGTATAATGTAAAACTTTCATCTTTTCACAGCAGTCATGGTATAGTTTAAAACTCTCATCCTTTCACACGTGTCTTTGTTCACAGATAAACCTAGTTAAGATGTTGTACGAGATTCATATATATGTCTGTGGAACGGGTAGCGAACCATGAAAATTCGACTACAGTTTTAATTATGTATAGTGTATGGCACGTTTTTCGATAAGCACAATACGTCGATATAGGGTTGTTTTATAAGTAGTTTATTTACAAAACTTTGAACTGTTCAGTTCTGACTTGGATAATTCTAGTATTGTTTGCCGTATGTTCATACAGAAATTATTAACTAAAATGTAAAATAACTTTTCCAGCCACAACCCTGCCAACCACGCCGGACCCCCTGGTGGTTTCCAAGTGCAACACTTCGCAGTGCCAACTGCCGGATTGTTTCTGTAGCTCGGACGGCACCCAAATCCCGGGAGGGTTAGAACCGGAACAAACGCCACAAATGGTGTTCTTGACGTTCGACGGAGCTCTAAACTTTATAAATTATGAGCAATACCGAAATATTCTGAACGAGACACGGAAGAATCCGAATGGCTGTCCTATTAAGGCAACGTTTTTCGCGGCTCACGAATATTCCAGTTACTTCTATGTGCAGAAATTTTACTCGGATGGTAACGAGTTTGGTGTTAATTCCATCAGGTAAACATTATATTCGCTCGGACAACAAAGGTACCACAAAACTTCCCTTATAGGAATGACCCCAACTTTAATGATAGCTTCTAATAATATCAAATTTTTTTATTCAATCCTGAAAAAGCGTTTTGGTTTGGTTTGTATTGAATTTCGCGGAAATCTACACCAAGGCTATCTGCGCTAGCAGTTTCTAATTTAGCAGTGATAGACTAGAGGGAAGGGAAATAGTCAACACCACCCACTGTCAACTCTTTTACCAAGACAGTCACATTATAATTGTTTTGTATATACATCAAAATAAACAAGTTTGTTTTTAAATTTTACTCATTGCTACACGAGGGCTATCTGCACTAGCCATCCCTAATTTAGCAGTGTAAGACTAGATGGAAGGCAGCTAGTCATCGCCACCCACCGCCAACTTTTGGGATATTCTTTTACCAACGAATAGTGGGATTGGCCGTCACATTATAACGTCACCACAGCTGAAAGGGGCGAACATGTTTTGTGGGACGGGGATTCGAACCCGGGACCTGTAGATTGCAAGTAGAGCTCCCTAACCACCTGGCCCCCAAAGTGAAAAAGACATCAGTGTAAAAGGTTAAAAGAAGGAGAGTGAAAACTACGGAACCGGTTCTTTAAAGACAAGCAATTTTGAATAATTTTAAAATGTGAAAATATATATATATATATATATATGCATGTGTTAAAAATGTTTTTCAACTTTTGAGTTGTATCAGGTGGAGCAGGAGTACAGGGTAAGCTTGCGGACTTACAACGCTAAAATCCGGGGTTCGATTCGCCGCGGTAAACATAGCAGATGACCCAATATGGCTTTGCCTTAAAACAAACAAAAGCGCCTTTTAGTTTGATAATGTCAAATTCAAAACATTTATAATATATACCATGAATATTCTTTAGTAAATATTTATATAAAAAACAGAAAATGTTAAGAAAACCCACCATTATATCACTACTCGTATGATTGTAACGGAGAGTGAGAGACAATAATAACGCGGTCCTCCCAGAGCTCTTACTGTAAAGGAAATTTCGCGGTATCTTCCTCGAGGTGAAATGTTATGTTCTTTGTATTTGTGCAATCTCTGGAGACTTAATAAAACGTAAAACCTCACTATAAATAAAGTTACTGCATCTCTCCAGAAATTGACATTATTGCAACTTCTATTTGTGTTTAGATAAGTTTCGAATTTATTGTTAAGTATTTAATAAAACGATTTATAATAGCCTTCAACTCGCCACTCGATTTAAGTACGGAATGCACTATAACAATGAAAATGTTTCAAAAACTTTTTTAAAAAATGTGAAATTTCCACTTTAAATTAGATTTGTTTGATAAAGATATCTTTAAGGCACAAGAAGTAGATCTCATATTCACAAATATAACATTCCTATACTTATTATTTACTTTTCAGTCATCGCCAGCCAGAGGACTGGTGGTCCACGGCTTCGTATCAAGACTGGACTGAGGAAATGGTAGGTCAGAGAGAAATCCTCATTAAGTTTGCCAACTTATCCCGTGATTCTGTGCTGGGCAGTCGAGCACCTTTCTTGAAACCTGGCGGGAACAATATGGCTTCCATGCTTTTTGACTATAACTTTGCGTACGACTCTTCCATTGCTGTGCCTCAGGTAACGACCCCCATCTGGCCATACACTCTAGACTATGGAGTCCCTCATCGCTGCCTGACCAAAAACTGCCCAACTCATTCATTCCCTGGTATGTGGGAAATTCCTCTGAACACAATGTTTAGTGATGAAGGTATAAGTGGTCAGTGTGTTCTAGCTGACCAGTGTGTCCTACCCAGTGACGAGAAACTGGTGTTTGACTTCCTCAATGAAAATTTCCTCAGACACTACAAAACAAACAGAGCTCCATTTGGTCTTTTCTTCTATGTTAATTGGTTCAACGATAAGGTTAAAGTTAAGGCGCTGAACCAATTCATTGACCACCTTCTGGATACTTATCCAGACGTCTGGTTTGTAACCATGCAACAAGCCCTTCAATGGTTGAGGAATCCTGTTCCCATCAGTGAACTCACTAAAAACTATGTATCCTGGGCGTGTGAGAAACGTCAGCCATCGTGCAATATCCCTAACACATGCGCCTTGCCGTTCAGCAAAGATCGGTCCTACGACATCCGCTACATGCAAACCTGTGGGAAGTGTCCCATCCGGTATCCCTGGGTAGGTAATTTTGAGGGGAAAGACGAAGGACGAAAGATCGTTGATCTAACAGAAGGAAACGAGAACGAAGCTTTGAAGAAGAAGAAATGAACAACGAACTCCATTAGTTATATTTCTTTCTTGATGTAATATTCGCTGAATGTCTTCATCTGCCTTCACAAAACGATCAGTTTGCACAGCTTTTAACATCATGGCCCATGGTGATAGCTGTGAATACTGTTATTTTATGCTTAATATAATATTTGTCTTTATCACGAAGTGAGGGCAATTTTATTGTAGCAGCTGTGATTGACTAGATGTATAATCTTGTATTTTACTTTGTTTAAACTATTTCGTGATGATGAATGTATATTTAACAAACCTTTATCTGTAAATGTTTTCACTATAAACCTTTCTTCCGAGTAAACATTAATATTAAAAGAACATTCGTCTTTGTGAAGAAACTAGAGCTGCGACAATTTGGAAATTGATCAATCATTTTCATAAAATCGAATCGGATAATCGTCGGCCATTTTGAATTCAACATTATACTTGTACGACCTGCATCTATTATGTCACGTAACACGTGTACGACTCGCATCTGGTATGTCACGTAACACGTGTACGACTAGCATTTGTTATGTCACGTAACACGTGTAGGACTAGCATCTGTTATGTTACGTAACACGTGTACGACTAGCATCTGTTATGTCACGTAACACGTGTACGACTAGCATCTGTTATGTCACGTAACACGTGTACGACTAGCATCTGTTATGTCACGTAACACATGTACGACTAGCATCTGTTATGTCACGTAACACATATACGACTAGCATCTGTTATGTCACGTAACACGTGTACGACTAGCATCTGTTATGTCACGTAACACGTGTACGACTTGCATCTGTTATATCACGTAACACGTGTACGACTAGCATCTGTTATGTCACGTAACACGTGTACGACTAGCATCTGTTATGTCACGTAACACGTGTAGGACTAGCATCTGTTATGTCACGTAACACATGTACGACTAGCATCTGTTATGTCACGTAACACATGTACGACTAGCATCTGTTATGTCACGTAACACATGTACGACTAGCATCTGTTATGTCACGTAACACGTGTACGACTTGCATCTGTTATATCACGTAACACGTGTACGACTAGCATCTGTTATGTCACGTAACACGTAATTACTCTATATATACTTGGATATTTGTTTGTGTGTTCAGGGAAAACTTTCGTATTAAAACAAAATTATTATTTCTATTTATGAGACGATTAAGGATTTGATGATTTGGAAATCGATTTCCGTGGGAAATTGAATCAGATCCGATTATCAGAGTAATCGTCACAGCTCTAAAAACAACAACAAACGAAAGTTGTCGTCCTTTAATGTAGGAAAAGTAAGATTTGTCGTCACAAGGTAACCAAGGGTGATTGTAATGAGTTATGTAGCTAAATGTTTATAGTTTGTCTTTCAACCAAAGAAAACAAATATAAATCATTTTTTGTAATTTATTTCCATATTAAAGTTCTAATTGTCGTTAAGGTTGATACAAGAAATATTCACCAATAATAAGTTTGTATGAACATTTTTGTGAAATAAAACAAGGCTTATCGTAAACCAAATATAAACCGCATCTACCCGATTTCTTTCATGTACCATCTATTTACATCATCTTCACTAGAGCATGGTCTGTATTGATGTAAAACAGTACTGAAACATTCTCTACACAAGACAATTGAACATCAAGTGAACTTTCATTACAAAGGCCCTTCAGTCTATCTAAAACTGGTTTCTTCAATTTATACAGTTGATTGCTGTAAATCGAGACTTGGTTTAGACCCTTCAGTCTATATAAAACTGGTTTCTTTAATTTTTACAGTTGATTGCTGTAAATCGAGACTTGGTTTAGGCCCTTCAGTCTATCTAAAACTGGTTTCTTTAATTTTTACAGTTGATTGCTGTAAATCGAGACTTGGTTTAGGCCCTTCAGTCTATCTAAAACTGGTTTCTTTAATTTTTACAGTTGATTGCTGTAAATCGAGACTTGGTTTAGGCCCTTCAGTCTATATAAAGCTGGTTTCTTTAATTTATACAGTTGATTGCTGTAAATCAAAACTTAGTTTAGGCCCTTCAGTCTATGTAAAGCTGGTTTCTTTAATTTATAGAATACAAGCAAAAGCTACATAACTTTTCAATGAAATGTACTAGAGACATCCAGTTTTAAGTTAATGATAATATGTAAATGAACGAATTAAAGTCATTTAAATTTAATGCAATTTTTGCTTGAACCTCAACGTTACAAACTTACAACATTTCACGTCATATACACACATTCATAAGTCGAGTGATACCCCACATAATATTAACAGCTCATGCATGCGTAGCCACAAAGTTCTGATTTTATTCTTTAACCATTTTCACTAAGTGTTGTAAAGGTACTCTTGTCACAGTTAAATATAATATTTATAAATATTGTTTCTTTCTTTATTATTGTAGCAAAACTCAAGTAGAAAGATTTCATTAAGGCTAAAAATGCATCTAATTAGAAAAGCAACATTTCTAAACAATAAAATAAATGATATTTTAATGTAACAGTCTTCTAGATGTGAAAAACTAATCTTTTTATGCCAATGTGTAGTATTTTTATATTAATCAATGCTAAGCTATAGTTTGTACCTTGAGAAATAATGACCTGTAATTTATACAACCAATCAGAGCTGTGCTATAGTTTCTACACCAATCAAAGCCGAGTAGTAATTTCTAAACCAATCAAAGTTGAGTAGTAATTTCTACACCAATCAAAGCTGAGTAGTAATTTCTAAACCAATCAAAATTGATTAGTAATTTCTAAACCAATCAAAGTTGAGTGGTAATTTCTACACCAATCAAAGCTGATTTCTAAACCAATCAAAGTTGAGTAGTAGTTTCTACACCAATCAATGTTGAGTAGTAATTTCTACACCAATCAAAGTTGAGTAGTAATTTCTACACCAATCAAAGTTAGGTGTAATCTTCTTCCTGGGGTTAACTAACCTCTGATTTAATATCACAATAAAATCATTTTGCCTGGGAAAAAATAAGAAATGGACACTTGGAATTTTTAGCTTCAAAGATTTATTTCAAACGTGTTTATCACAGATAAGTGTTTCAAGTTTAGCACACAGTACAAATAATCTCAGTACATAATGCCCAATGCACACTGTGCGTTCACAAACATTTCTGAAAATACTATGCATAATTTTAACAGGTGCCCAACCTTCCTTCATCAGACGAATATTTCATGAGAAATATTTACCGAGTAAACGTACTTTAATTGTAAAGCTCTTAACGATGTAATTTCAAGGTTAATATCCTGAAATTTAATGTGACCCATGTGAATCAGTTACATAACATTTATCATGTGCCTAGCCTTATATTTAAAATGTGAAAACTCATTTTACAAAGTTGTTTATCTTCTCCAATAATTATTTGAGAAAAAAAAACTATTTTATTTTACTCTTCTTAATTAACCTAACACACATGACGTAATTTGAAAACTTTTTTTTTAGATAATTTTCAACTCAAAGTTAGCAAATGATAAAATCTAGCAATATGGGTTAATAATGTTACAAATATAAAGTTATCCTATGACACTGTTAAGAAAACTCTTCTTTCGAAAATTAGTACGACCAGCGTAAGCATACGTAGCTGAGATATAAAACATTATCAAACCTACCAATCACAGTGTAGGAACTAAAGTACCGTAACAGATGACATCTCAAGTAGAAAATCAAAACGGGTTTTATCCAGTTGATAGTGTAACAATATTAATAACAGTGGTCGAGCACACCAGTCAATCGAAACCAGTACTAGACTTACTTGAAACCTAAACTTAGTCTAGAAAAGCACAAAGGCCTAATACTGTTAAACACGAGCTTTTTTTTAGTTCAGTTCTAACACTTTACTTTTAACTAACAGGATAAAAATATCCGCCAGTGTTTATATTGGATTAATACTGATAAATCCGAACTTTTTGGTCCAGCTCTAACATTTTACATCAACGATGGCAAAAAAGGCCTAGTAAAACTCTTGTATTTATATAGGATTGATGGAATAATACCAATAAACTCTGAGGCAAGAAATACATATGGAGATAAAACTCGAGATTCAGATCTCAGTGACAGAAATAAAATGAAGGATAGATGATAAATCCTAGTATAGATTCAGATCTCAGTGACAGAAATAAAATAAAGGATAGATGATAAATCCTAGTATAGATTCAGATCTCAGTGACAGAAATAAAATAAAGGATAGATGATAAATCCTAGTATAGATTCAGATCTCAGTGACAGAAATAAAATAAAGGATAGATGATAAATCCTAGTATAGATTCAGATCTCAAGTGACAGAAATAAAATAAAGGATAGATGATAAATCCTAGTATAGATTCAGATCTCAGTGACAGAAATAAAATAAAGGATAGATGATAAATCCTAGTATATATATATATATTTTACAAATAACATTTTAATTACTCTTAGAAAAACAAGTGATGTCAGAATATTTTTCGTGTTTAAATATATCACACTCTTGACACACATATCATTCCACACGTTTGAAAATACTTTAGAATCATTTTGTTATCACATCATACATACACTTGAGTCACAATAACAAATTTAAACAAGCATAATTATAAACTAAACTGTAAAGGAAATAATACTCCCTTGTAGATGTTTCTAGACGGATGTGTATTTTAATTGGTTTTTCTAATTACAACTTATCCTCAAGCTATGTATTGTAGAACCGGATATACCAGACTTCATAAGTTCATGATACTTATTTTGATATTTGAAGTTCTGTTTGACTGACAGCAGGGCGAAATAGATACGAAATTATCGGAAATACATTTTTCATTGAATTTATTGTATCAAAAATGTACGTTTGTATTGTTGTTTATAAAAATTTAAGATCTAATAGGGTCGGTTGAGCAAAATTACACGAGGGACCGTCTACTTGAACCCACCGATCATAGGCTACCTCGGTTAGGGTAGTGTAGAATCTGACATTAATCTGTATTAGTATTACACAACACTCATTATTCCACAGGAAAGCTTCGGTTGCAATCTTATTAGCTCTGTATTACAATGCACACATTCATAACTAATATATTTTCATTCTTTATTTAATAAGTAGTTAAAAATAAGAATGCCACCTATTTTTTGGCCAAACAATACTAGATACTTCTGTACTCGAGCATATCACGAAAATGCTTCCAAGACTTTCATAGCTAGCACACAGACTCTACAGGTTGTATTTTCTTCGTTTATTTTTTAAACTTAAAATTGGAAAACTCTACTTTACCATCAGCTTGACACCCTCATTTTCAGCAAATCTTTGTTCGTCCGATGAAACTAATAACGTTGCTATCGTTTTGGAAATATTCACATTTACATGTAATTAAACCTAAAGCTCAACAAGACGAATAAATGCTAAGGGTGACATCTGTCGGTCATAATACACTCACAATTTTAAGTGAAACATAAGGGAGCTAAAATTAATCAATTTTACCAAACAAATATTATACACTAGTAGTTTGATAGGACATGCATAAAATCACTTCATTAAGTTGGTTCTAAATATGTACAAAATTTTCAAATAATATAATAAAATACTTAAGTAATAAAGATATTAAACATTACAGTAATAAATAATATTAAAATTGACGTGACCGGACATGAAATTATCCAAATCTGATGTGTGTACTCTTTTTTTTTCATTATTCTTCCAAACTATCTTTAGATACCATCTCAGCCATCAGTGTCGCAACAACGTAGCGTTCCTGTACAAAACAAAAAGAACACATTTTAAAAATTAAACGTTATCAAAATTGGACTTAATACTGAGTACTAACACAGTGGCGTAGGTATAGTGGAAAAAATCTTCCATAAACCCCAAACATTCAGGAGTCTGAAAATCCCACAGAAAATTATACACGTTTTATGTGAAATGAAAAAAAATCGAATAAGACTTGCCAATATAAAACAAAAATTATAATAACTCAATAATTTTATTTTTGTGTTTAATATAAAAAAAACAAGTTTTAAATCCTCTCTTGGAGCCGTTTTCAGGCTAAATGATAAGTCATGAAATTAATAAAAAAGTCTAATGTATATATGCGAATAAAGTATTCAAAAATTAATAATACAGCATATGCCATTACAACAACAACAATGAAATAAGATACATGACACAACAAACAATAATTATTCACATTGATATCAACTGTTGCTAACAAGTACAGTTCATCGCCACCAGGGTAATTGACT